GAATGTTATTTCAGGAAGATCTGGGGAACAAGAAACAATTCAAGTCATTACCAAAGACTTGATAAGAAACTTGAAGTAAGTTGCATGATCAATCTCTTCTTATTCCCGTTAAGTCCAAGTTCATAAGTAGATCCTGAAAATTATAGATGAGTTGTTTTAGCTCCATTAATTTGTCAAGTAACGACTACTATACCATACTTTTTTTTTGATAATTTGAGTATTTCTAAAGATGGGCTTTGGCTTAGGGAAATTAGGATGKTAATATTCCCTAGCAGTCCAAAGTGCTTTATATCCCAGATAAAMCATGRCAATTATGATTCAATGGCATTGCATTTGCCATCCAACATAATCCATGGTCTACAGTACARCAATTCAGAGTCAGTGTAAGACTAACCTRAGTATCAGGCTTTCGAGGTAAAAAACAAATCTGATGGTTTTATCTGTAATTTTCAATTATAGAGTTCCACAAGAAGATCCATCAGGTCGCTCAATCATACTTGAAGATGTAGAGTTTGGCCGAATTAAGGTACTGATTAAATGTAAAAATTACATAATGGAATGGGGGGAGGGGGGATTGTTTGCTTTTAAAACTCAGATTTTAGCCTTAACCCTTAGCTAACGTTAACCCTACCCTACCCTAAACCCTCATAACCCTAACCCTAAATCTAGGAACCCTAGTCCCTGTCTTAGCTTATAGGAACCCTAACCCTTGCATACGGCTGGAACTAACCCTATGCTGAAGTTTGGGAGGAGGGTAGAGTACAGTCCGTAACTAAATGTCGATTTTTCACTGCTTTTTTAAAGGAAATCATGAGAAATAACTAGCAAACATGATTATTTGGATCAGAAACAAAAGATTGAATGTATTTTTTTTTCCATTTTATGAAAATTTCAAAAAAACTCTAAATTGTCACTTATATAGTTTTCAAATCCAGCCCTTCAATTTGCAGTATTTTAGCTTTTGTCAAACTATTGTTTTTTTTCTTGTGTGCAGAAAGCTTCAAGGGTTTTGTCAAAAGAAGAAAGAGARGCAGCATGGGATGAAATCAAGAAATTAAAAGAACTGCAGCAAAATGAAACGGATGAAAGGAAAACTTACATGCAAATGATGGACTTAAATAGAAAGGAAAATGAAAAGCTGTCTGATCTTGATCAGGTARAACATCTACAGTACAAAAATTTTGAAGGTCTATTTGAAAATCTGTGTGGTGATACTGTCAATCAATGTGAAATGTGTGGCTGGCTATTCTCTTTCTGAAAGAATTKACTTTATTTTCTTTGATTTATTCAGGAAGCAAAGCTAAGAAGTCTTCATTTACTTGAGAAAGCTAATGAACAAATGGAAGAAGAGGAAGATGAAATAAAAAAACTTAATGAGGTAAATTTGAGATATCTCATTGATATTTTKGAGTTCTTGTAAACTGATGAAAATTATAGAACTATAGAAAAAAGTTCTTTTTTTGCATGTGCACATGCCTTTATTTACACTATTATATTGAATGGATGATTTGTTTTTCTTTAGCTGATTTTAAATGCTAAATGCCATGCAATTAGAGATGCTCAGCTGATTGAAAAGGTTGAAATAAAAAAGGAACTTCTAACTGAAGATAAGCGACTTGATGAAATGATGGAGGTTGAACGAATTAAAGCATTACAGGARTATGAGGAAAGAGAGCAAAAGAGGCAACAGGAGAGGTTAGATGGTGCAAAAATACTCAGAGATCAGATTAAAGACAACCTACAGAACAAGATGTTGGAAGAAGAAAGAAAAGACCAAGAAACAGCGGTAAGYAACTAGGGATGTCATGACCATTGGTGATGCAAGTCAGAATGTTTATACTGTATGAGATATTGTGGTACATCTATTAAGTGGTCACCCATGGTCACCATTTATTATTTGAGCCATCATAAAAGTCCCTATTCTATAATTCACCCTCCTTTATTTAACCTCTGTTCATCAGCAACCCCCTATTAAATAGTGTGGTGAGATCTTTAAGGGTAATTACTGAATGGATTTCGATAAAGCATTGTCTAATTTGCTGTCAAGCATAAATTTTCCTCTCAGTGTCTATACACTTTGTTGTTGAAAAAATGATTGAAAAAGAGTGGATGCAATATTATTTTCAGGCATTGACTAGGTAAAATTCCATAAGATCACAATATTAAATGAATATCTTAGAAGTTCTTCCATTTGCCAACTATTTTTTTTTAATTTGTAATGTTTATCTAAATAGGCTATGTTGCAATATCTGGACAAACTGCAGCTTGAAGACTTGCAAAATTTAATTAAAAAGAAGGAAATCCAGAAGGAGTTAATGAAAGAAGTAGCAAAAGCTAATGAAGTAAGTAATTAACAAATAACAAAATCAAAAATTCATGTTTAGAATATTTCAATAATATGCAATGCTACTGGAATTGATTGTCAGGGCTTATCAAGTAAGAATCTAAGTCTTTGTAATTGAGACCCAACAGATTTCTCAATCTAGCTTTTATTTCTGTGTCTTTTGCCTGGAAAGATGTGATAATTCTATGGGTCATAAACTCTACATAATGTACTAAACAATGTTTTTCTACATTTAATAGGAAATACAACGACAAAGGGATGTAAAAAAGCAGCAAGAACTAATGGAAGAGGTCAAAGTTATGGAGTATCTAAAACAGAAAGCTGAAAGAGAAGAAGCTTATCAGAAAGAGGTTGAAAAAGCCAAAATTGAGAAAGAGAAGGAAATAGCTCGTCTTCGTGCACAGCAAGAAAGAGCAAAGGATGTCCAGGCTGAGAAAGATGCTCTTAGAGCTAAGAGAAATCAAGAGGAAGCAGAACGAGAATGGAGAAGAAAAGAAAAAGAAGAAAATGAAAAAAAGTAAGGATTACAAGAAAATCTAAATTTAAAGAAAAACAACTTTGTTTATAAATTATTCACATCAGTCATACCTTTTGAATGAAAGAGTATATACAGTTGGTGGAAGAACATGCAGTAATCCTTTTTTTTTTGACAGGATAAGGACTGAAGCCATGTTGAAAGCAGCAAGAGAAGACCAAGTTAAGAATAAAGAACATTTCCTAGCTGTTCAAGCAGCAAGAGACAGAGCAGAATTTGAACGTGTTCTGGCGTAAGTATTTTGATGAGRCAATTTATTCAATGAAGTATACAGGATTAAAACCCTAATCACTAATCATTAATGATTGTAACGGTTCCTTTCAATTATCAATGGTTAGAATTCATTTTTTTTAATTTTTCTTTTGACCCACCTTTTTACTTTTCTTTAAACTGTACTACCTTGAAAAATGTTTATGCACATATATGATACTAAAACAKATATTATTTTTTAGAGCACAGAAGGAGCAGATGGTAAAAGATGAAGAATCATCCAAGGTTACTGCTATTCGAAGACATCAATATGCAGATGAAGTTCGCCAACAGATACGTGAGAAGGAAAAAGACCGCATCCATGCTAGAAATGCTTTTTACGAAGAAGGAATTAAGCTTGACCAGGAAGCAAAAGCAAGGTTAGTAATGAACAGAGTTAATTTGAAAAGGATTTTTGATATGGAAATGACAATGTGTGT